CCGCACACACCCCGCCGCCCGCGCTCCACGCCGTCTAAACGACGCGCATCCCAGCCTCGGCGCATCTGAAGCGACGCAATACAACAACTATTACGTACACGCGTGTTTCATTTTGCTAACCCATATCATATTGTGTACATGTGTAGAGACAAATATACAGCGTATTGAAATATTGCGTGTTTTTGGCTTGTAAGCTGTACCCATATTTCTTAACTAATAAAAGAAGATTTCGCCTACACATATTTCACCGAACCAAAGCAGGGGAGTATTTACAAAAACCTTAACATCTACCTCACTGGAGTATAAACTGCTATGGCGTATATAGGTAAAGCGGACTGTCAAAGAAGCAACAATGACATAAATCCAGGTCTTTCTAATAAAATTGTGATGCATAAGCATCTTTTAGGCTTGCCTGTATTTCTTTAAAACCCACATGGAGGCGACAGACAATAAACTTGGAGAATGTTTGAAACTTTGTCAAACAATAAACCGATAAAGATGGTCTGTACTTGAAGCCAAAATCTAAAGAGTACCTATTCCAGAATCCAGAAATCATCTTTCATACTAATCATACTTCATACTTCATACTTCATACTAATGTTATAAATGCGAAAGTTTGGATGGATGGATAGATGGATGTTTGTTAGAGTTTGTAGCCTAAACGGCTGAACAGATTTTGATGAAATTTGTTATAGATGTAGAGGATAGTCTGGAAGAACACATAGGATACTCACTTTTGTTTTTTTTTTATAATTCCACGCGGACGGAGTCGCGAGCGAAAGCTAGTAGAGTAATAAACAAAGCAAGTGGTAAATATCAAGAATTTATGTTAAGAATCCTAGATTAATTTTAAGCAAATAACCAACCTGCAACCAACAGATAAAGTAAAAACTTACAAAGTTAATATTTTGCTTGTATAAAAAAATTACGCCAAAGAGCTAGTAGCTAAACCCACAGATAACAAAATACTATACTAGTAAATAGGTAGTATAGTACCTAATACCTAATAGTATTTTATTATCTGTGCTAATATTCTCCGTAACTAAGTTTAAAACGAGTCACATTATAACACATCCAAAATGGGAGAACTTTCACATTTTAATGAGCCTTAGTTACTTTTAGATATTCTACAAGCTAGTAAAGATTATGTTGCAGCAGCAGCAAACCCACGATCTGATCCACTGACTACATCTAAAAGCGTCATCTGTGTAAAATACGCCACACTATCTCGTTAATCCGCACATCTACCCCTAGCGGTTATGTTAAAAATCCCTCCGTTAGTTCTACCCTATGTTAAGGGTTAGCGTTAACATCGAGATATAAGTAGTTTGTTAGACTTAAGTATAGAGGGCGTTGCTACAGTGAACCTTTTTTAAAAATAAAAACTTTTTTTTTTTATTAAAGGCAATTATGACACAATAATAATAATGTAGTAAACTTTCAATTTTATATCCAACAATTATAATACGGTAAAATTTTCACTTTAAAATATTTAGTTGGCATGGATTAGAAACCCGTGGTTTTAGTTGGTTGTGTACCGTTATTTCGTTGTGTCAGTCGACCGGGAGCGCGGCGTCTCCTGTAATCCGGCGACACGGAGGTCGGGAACGGAGGATAGTTTGAGGTCGGGAGCTCTGGCGCTTGGGCCCATGTAGACTGGACGTCCGCACTGAGCTCGGCACCGGCATGGGCGGCCCGGAGGAGTCCGGGCTGGCCAGGTTGACTAAGGAGGGGCGGACCGGGCCAGGGGGGAGACCCAGCAGCCAAGAGTCCCCGTGTCGGGCAGTAGTGGGACAGCGGCCGGGAGTGGGACCCACAGCGTCAGCCAGACCAACATAACTAGACACCCTTCCTTTTTGCTTTTACCTTCAAAACATTACACTACAAGGCGGTGGACCCTACCCCATCCTTAAAAAGACAAAATTAACTTAATTCAACAGCCTAAGTAGTCTACCATCTCTCGAGACTGACATAGATAACTTGAGACGACTTGTAAGCTTAAAAAATTAAATACACTTGTTGATA